AAACAGAAGATGGACTATGAATGATAGCATTGGATATATCTAGACAATGGGATGATGGACTGTCTGACATTGTCTGTACCAGTACTGTTGGGGCACACTTAAATAGCAGACTGATGGAATTGTAACTCTTTATGAAGAGTGTGACATTATGGGAAAAATCAATCAGGGGCCAGAAAATAGGGGAGCGGGGTATCCAAGACTACACAGAATTGTATGATGAATTTCAAGAATTAAAATATATATATATATAATTTAAAAATAGGGTGAGTTTAAAAAATTTAAGAAATTGGATATAAAAACAAAAAACAATGGGTTGTTGTTATGAGAAGTGAGTTATTGGGCAATGTTGTCATTTGTCCATCACAGAGTATACTTTACTGAAACCAGAAACACTGCAGCATCACCAGGCGATCTGATCTTGTGCACTGTGTTATTAACCCAAACCTCATTGCACAACGAATGAATCTAAGTATTCGTTGTTATATAGTGAAGATTCTGCAGCACTCAACTGTAAGCACATTTTTTAAATGAATTCTAGAAGGAATCTAGAGGGAAACCCCAGAATTGGCCAAGGAAGCTGACATCTATGGGAGAGAGTCTGGAACCGTAAGACAGCTCTGCCCACGCGGCATATCCATGAACCACCTGCAACGTGTGCAGAGTCTGGCTCTCTCCGTCATCTCATCTTCCCCCAAAGTTTTCACCTTAATTGACTCAACTTGCTTCTATAGTAACACCTCTCATATTTTAAAAATAAAAACAAAGGGCCTGGAAAGATGGCTCAGTGGCTAAACCCTCGTCTTGTATGTGCTGGGCTAATTTACAGGCCCCAGTCCATGTCCTGGCTGCTCCATTTCCCATCCAGCTCTCTGCTCGTGGCCTGGGAAAGCCATCAAGGATGGTCCAAAGCTTTGGGACCCTGTACCCATGTGAGAGACCCACAAGAGGCTCCTGGCTCCTGGCTTTGGATTATCTCAGCTCCAGCCATTGCGGTCATTTGGGGAGTGAACCACCAAATGGAAGATCTCTCTCTTTTGTCTCTCCTTCTCTTTGTAAAATCCATATTTCCAATTTTAAAAACTTAAAGAATAAATAAAACAAAAAGCAAGAAGTAGCTTCTGAGTTTCTCATAAGCTCTTCATATAAGAATCTTCCCACCTCTCATTAACACTATTCAGGTAGAAAAAGAAAAACTTCCAAAGGACAACAATTAAGTACTGACAGCCTCTGGAAAGACTTTTCTGGGCTCTGTGTCTGACAGAACTTTACTTATACAAGCAGCCAGTGTTGTGGGGAATGGGGCAGCTTCCCATGCTGCTCAGCCTAGGCCTCGGAAAGCCAACACCAGGGTGGGAGGGATGCACTGTTACCATCTTTGCAGCACAGGCAGGTCCGGCAGTGACTTGCTGCCTCTACAGACTTCCCTCCCATTTGCATTCATGCTTGCTTCCGTAAACTACTCAGAAACTGACAATCCAGTAATAAAATGGGTCAAGAGTGGTATATTGCCTGCCTGGAGGTGTAAGTATTAGATGCAAAGCTCTCCCATGCCACCAGTCCAAGCTAACTGAACAATTTCCAGACTCTGGGAGTCTAGCTCATCGCTAAGTGTTTTTTGTTTGTTTGTTTGTTTGTTTGAGCTGACCTACACCTGCTGAAATGTAAAGGTGATTTGACCCATTCCCAGGGTGGCAGAGAAGACACACAAGCAGATCACATTGTGTGTATATGGGCAAAAATTTTCTCTGGTTGCCTGCAGGTTTTGTTAAGGATGTGGTTTGTAGACAAGAGAAATGACACATCACATTAAAGACCCTGAGAAATATCAGCTCTAAAATAGAGATTTCATTGGAATTCAAGAGAATATGCCAATTTGAAATAATAACAGAAAATCTAAGGGAAGAACGGGGTATGATAAAAAGGGATACAACAAGAGCAGAAAAGGTGAAAAGGAAATTTAAAAGTTCATGAAGAGTATGAAGCAAGTGAAAAATATAATTGCAGCATTTACAGGAGGCAGGAAAAAGTAGAAATAAAACTGCAGAATAGTCTGTTGGCAACTGGAGAATAAATTTAAGAAGTTTTTCCAGAATGTAAGGAAAAGAGTCCAAATAAAAACAAAGCAAGAAAAGACACTAGACGTGGAAGAATAAAGCTCCAGTGTCAGCACCAAAGTCCCCCAAGGAACAAACAAAATCTACCAGGGCCGGAGATGTCATCAGAATCATAACTGAAGAGCACTCTTTGAGGAGGAAGAAAGGCCACAGTTTTTGGTCCTTGAGACTGAGTGTGTTCCCCATATTCCAGGCACTATTGTCAACAAATGACTACACTCTAGAAATCTGCCGTAAAAGTAAGGATAATAAAAAAGATGAGGATTAAGCTCAAGAACCTAGGCACTGAACCACCAGGGAGGTCAAAGATAAACCCGCAGACACTTGTCATCGCTTGAAACATAAGCGTCTCTTTGGTAATTCGTCTTTGTGGGTTTCTGGCTAAAGGTCCTCTTCTCAGCCAACTGAAGACCTCACAAGACAAGAACTCTTCCTCCCCAGAAACCATCACTTGCATGTAGTAAGTTCTCAAGGAACGTTCAATGAAAATTAAATCGCAAAAAAACTTTTTGTGTGGTACTAGGAACAGAAAAAGAGACTGTAAGAAGTTATAAAAGAAATAGAAAGCTAAATAATCTTCAGATTAGCCATATCTGCTTTGAAAAGCAATACAAATGGTTTAAATATGCTGCCTTTTAAAAGCTTTTTTGCATTGCTTACACAGGGACATACAAAATTTTATATAATAGTATGTTCAGTAAAAAACAAAACCTAAAGTTTTGTATAATGAAATCTTAATTTCTGCTGTGGCCCCGAGAATGACTAGGAAAGAGGCTCCAAAAGTTAACAACCGTTATCCCAGCTGGTAGACGAGTTGTATTCTCTTCTGTATATATTTTTAGCGTGTTGTAAGTTATTTATAAGAAAAATATATTAATATTTTAATAAAAAGTTATATTGGTGATTTTTTTTTCTATCCCAAGATGCAGAAAATCAAACTCAGATTTAAACAGCACAAGGAATGTGTGATTAACATAACTGAGAGGTTGCCTTCAGTCAGGATCCTGGCTCCATTTTATGCTGATGTCTTGTTTTCTGTCTATTTCTGTGTTTAATGCATCCTCAGGTTTATATCCATCATGATGGTAAAACAGCTGCAATGGTTCCAAACGCTTCATCCCTGTAGAAACCACACAGAGCGCGAGGACTCTGGCCCAAGCTTAAACCAGTGAGCTGAGGTTGGGGGCAGCTGCGGGTTTATTTCCCCAGAGCTAAAACTAACAGTGGGATTGGCTGCCCTAGACATGTGGACCGCTATCAGAAATGGAGGGCTGTTGCAACTGGCTGTTTGGACATCTTGAATAAAAATAGTGCTTATCTAATTTTTAAAAATTGAAAGGCACGATGGTGCACTGAAAATATTCAGTCTGAACATCAAGAGATCTGAGTTCAAATTCTGATACTTGATCTTGACTTGAGAATTCAACATGACCAGGAAGCACAGGTCCTCTGTGTTCTCATCTGAGTTGCTGTCCCTGAGCACATGTTCATCCCATGACAACTTTGCCTGGTGTTCCAGCATTAAGGCAATCTGCCTTAGTGGGAAGAAAAGAAATTCTTAGCTCCTGGCCGAGCCTCGACAAGCATACCATCATGGCTGTTTCTTGTGAGCACTGCGCTCTTGTTTGACAATATAATGAGATCTGGTCAAACAGAAGAAAAATGTCTTGACCTGAATGTTTATATCAACCTTACCCAGGCCTCCTGCCCCCCAGGCAGTCCCTTTTCTGTAGAGAGGGTCGGGGACCTCTGGCTGCAGCACCCAGTTCTGACTGGCGTCATGCTATATCACACTACTTTTGCAATAGCTGAAGGTAGGAGAGTGTCTGTTCGAATTTCCTGAAATGCACTAGCATGTGTCATACTCTCCGTGGCATTTAGGGGCAGCTTGTTCCTCAAATTCCTGGGAGAGGATGGGAAGAGAAGGGGGAGAGTAAATGCAAGAGACCAGTGTCAAAGCAGCTTGGCTGGTAACACTTAGCAGAGTTGGTCTGGGGAGGAGCGGATCATGAGGGCTTCAATCTGCCAACCCGCAACCTGAGAAACCCTGTCTAGTTTCTGGGAGCCAATCCCCCGGTGTGGGCAGAGTGCTGAGTTAGGCTCATTGGCCAGTTCTTTTAAGTCAAGTCTATAGAGCATCATGGAACCGGAACGGGGAGAGTATTTACAAAATGTATACAAAGTATGTAGCCAATCAGAATAACTTGGCATGAAAAACACTCAAATGTGACAGACTTCGACCCATTCGGTGACTCCCTGGTACATTCACCTTAATTTTCTGCCAGCCAGACAGATCTTTCTCTTCCCGTGTCCTCCACCATAGATACCTAATCTGCATCACCCTCTCTAATTGCATGCCTTGCCTCTCCTGATTAGCTCCTGGAAAGCAGGGTCTGGCATCCACCACAGCCCTTGATAGCTAGAAGCAGCCCTTCAGAGGCACCAGTTAAAATGAATACAAAGATCAAGGTTACATAAGAAGGAATAAACAAGGACATGTCCTAAGGGGAGTGCTTCAGGATGCTCTGCATAGTATGCTGGTTTACCAACCACACTCCAGCCAACTGGTTTATTATCATTCTTATTAGTATTATTTCTAGCTCAATGACATTTTGCCAGCTGCGTCAAAAAAGCAGCCTCACCTCCACTCTCCAAGGCTGAAATAAGTTTTCAAATTACCTGTACTTCTTCATCCAGCCTTGATTTTTTATCCAAGCATTATTAGGACCTCCAGAAAACATGCTGAAGGGATGGATGATACAGATACACACACTAGTCCAAATACCAATAGGAGATTTTGAAGCAAGTCTTTGTTTCAGTGGCTCACAGTATTTATGCTGCGTGGGATAGCATTGCATTGCGCCGTGGCTCTTCGTTTCTATGTGCTGTCTCCTCCTTAGAAGCTGAGCTCCTCGGGGGCAAACAAGGGCCTTGAGTTTTTATGAATCACATTGTTTGGCATGTAGTAACAGTTACTCAATATTCATAGAAAATAAACAAAAGGTGTTTGGGATTGAGCCCCCATAAGATCTGGAACAGACATCGCTTTTTTTTTTTTTTTGGCTTTGCTTTCCTTTGACATGAATGATACTGCTTGTGGTTATTCTTAGTGATGCTAAGCATCTCAAGTTAGACATGGGGAACACTACATGGCTTAAGTGCCTGATGTGAAGTTTTTGTATATATTGATTTTAGGGGGTTAATTACTTCTTTTAAGTGTATACATGCAAACAATGAATAGTCTAAATGCCTTTCCCAAATGCCTTTTCCCAAACCCTAGGAAAGTCAAGTCTTCAAGCTCAAAGGGACGTCCTCAGCAAAAGCATGTGACACACTGAAGAGAGGAGGGAAACCAAGGACTAGAACTCAACAGACAAGTGGCCCAAAGGGCAAGAACACAGAAAGTCGTGCCCATTGCCCCCGGGGCATATGTATGATGTTAGGAATGAACGAAAGCTGCAAATTCCTTGGGAAATTGAGATATTCCTTTTTAAAATGATCTGTCCAGTTATCACTGGGGCAGCTTGCTCCTCAAGTGTCATTAACCTTCTGCCCTCCATCCCTAGCCCTGGGATCCCGGGGGGTATCTGTCTAACAGACGAGCTTCCAGAGGGGGTCAGTATTCCTCTCTTAAGAGCCCTCAGAGCAAATGACTGGACAGATTAGGACGGATTAGACAGATAACAACTCAGACCCTTTTACAAGCACATTTTTCACTCGACACTCAAACTCCCTTTTGTGCCCCACCGTCTCACACAACCCAGCGGCTGGATAGCATTACTGAAAGATCTCTGGGCGAGCGAGTGTGTGGAACTGTGCAAAGCCAGATGTTCTTGTAACCCTGTTTTACTGAGTTATTTATATCCATATAATATTTGACATTTCCTGTGTTGTTAAAGAGTTGGGGGCCCTTGACATATTTTTAAGAGAACAGTGCCGACTTTTCATTTTTTTTCTTTGATGCTCAGCACCAGAAATAAGTATTATGGAGAGGAGGCTGAATTAAACACATGCGTAGATACCCCAAGTCTACCTCAGTTTAATGCCTTTCATCTTAAGTGATCTTCATGAACAGAAAGATGCGAGAGTTCTCGAGCCAGAGTGGATGAATTAAACCTGCCCTACAATAAAAGCGTATACCCATGGGCCTCAAATAAGTCAGCCAATAGGCAAAGAGAAATTTTTAATAAATATTGGAAATATAATCCACATTTCTAGGACTAAACTTTATGGAGCCTTGATACATGAACTATATCATCTCTTTGAACTTGATAGATATGGAAAGGCTAGTTAAAATGTTTTCAGGCTTAGTAAAATATTAGCTGGCAGATTTCTCTGGCTAAATGAAATAATGGAAACTTTATGGAGTTGAAAGTATTTGGTTGATCCCCAGTGGTAGGAATACCTAAACGGTACGTGAAAGTTGATACAGCAGAAGGCAATCATCTGTTTTCTTTGCCTGTTGCAAGGATCTGTTCACAAAATGTTTCATTTTTAAGATTTCAAAATTTTTACACAAGCTTTCCTTTTCATAGGATGTGACATAAGAAGAGAGATCCTGGTGTCAGCCAGGTCTTCATATCTCTTGCTGCCCAACACAACACAACACAACACAACACAACACAACACAACACAACACAACACAACAGTCACTGAAAGAAGTAACCTGTGAAATATGGGGAGTCTTTTTGCTCTTCTGCATTGCTTAATGAATTTTTTTAAATCCTCTGTGCTTGAGTTTTTTAAAAGATGGGTCTCCTTCCTTTAAAAAAAAATGTTCTCTGTTTTTCATAATTTAGTTCCTTAGGCTCAGGGAGCTTTCCTCCCACCCTTTCCTACCTGCTCCCCCCCACACACACACACACTGTTTTCCCCTATATTGTTACAATATGTTTGTCCCTCAACAATAGTCACAAGTCGATCATTCTTCTATTTACGTGATCCTGACATTGTAAGTATAGACAACAGCAGAAAGCCCGGCATGCTACTGTCAAGATATATTGAACAGTTTCTTTGGGAGTGCATTATTTATTCAGAAGTAAAGATGCACTATGCAGTGTATCTCCACTCCATGGTATACTTGCCTTCATTATACAGATCCTCCAGATAACATGTGTATGCTTCCTTATATATCTTCTGATCTTGTCTTTTGCATGAAGTTTGCCTGATATAAGAGAAAACACGTGCTGTTTGTTACTTTGGGATTGACTTGTTCCTCTGAACATAATAGTCTCTAGTTGGGACCCTTTTGTTACAAATGGTTCAAGTTCATTCTTTTTAATGGCTGAGTAGTATTCTATAGAGTAGATGTACCACAGTTTCTTTACCCACTCCTCTTTCGATAAGCATCTGTGTTGTTTCTGAATTTTCTTCCTTAAAAGCAAAGGGAACCTGGCATTGTGGCATAGCAGATAAAGCCGCTGCATCCCATATGGACACCAGTTCATGTCCTGGCTACTCCACTTCTGATCAGGCTTCCTGTTAACAGTCTGTGAAAAACAGCATAAGATGGCCTAAGTGTTTGTGTCCCTGCACCCGCAGGCTTGCTCGCTGGACTCACAGATTCCCCAGCCCTTGACACCAGCAGAGTCTACACTGAGCAATTCCAGGGTCCCTCCTGGACTGCTGGGATATGGGAGGTACCTGGAAGACAAATAAGCTCAGGACCATTAACCAGCTTTTATTCTGGATCTGAGCCTGCTAGATTGTTCTCAACCCTGGCAAAGCTGGCAGTCTCTGAATCCTGGATCAAGATTTTCCTCATCCCCTCAACCTTCAATTCTCCTTTCTTCTAGCATCGCCAATTTACTCTTCCTTAGAAGACTCCAGGGATTTTTCTGCCTTGACATTTATCTTCCATCTTGCTTCTTCCCTATAACCTCAGAATCTTTTTCCTTACTGCCACTGACAACCTGTACTGAACCCTAGAAAATCTCGCTAAAATAGGAGCCATCTACCTGCTGGTACCAGTCAAAAGTTACAGGGGCATCATCAGAGGCATAGCCTCTAGAGTGCTGGCTCCAGTGTTTCAGAAAAGGCAACAATCCTGTTCCCAATCTTCTTCCTTCAGCCTTTGAATCTACACAGCCAGTGTGCCCTCCTGGTGTAATTTCCTTTTCTGAAGTGTGAATTTTGAACACCAAATGCAGTCCTTTATTTTATGAGGTTGCCTTGGATGGAACAAAGACTCAAAGCCAAGTACTATTTCCTCCAGATAATCTAATTTCTGAAAGTAACAATGGATTGATCTGATCAGAGCCTGCAGCTTTGAATCACAGCTCCCAAGGTGTGACTTTGGGCTAAGAAAGTTCATTTTACTTAAAGACTTTCATGATCATAAATAGTATCATTGTCCTGGTAAGCTCTCCAAAGAAATTGGGCTAATGAGTGTGGATAACGTAAGACAGTCTATCAACACCACTTGGAAAACAAGCAAACAAGATCCTCCCAGGTGTAAGAGCACTACGTATGTCTAAGTGTAGATCATGACATGCACCCAGATGATGGAAGGAAAGAATGGTATTCATTCCGTAAGATTTTGGAGCCATCACTTCAGATTCTAACTGAATAAAAGTAAGAGAATATAAGCCAAGAACCTGGTACAGGGAGTGCCTGCCACATAATAACTGTTCAGACAGAAAGAGAACCAGAGTGATGGTTGTAGCAGAGACAAGGAAGTGGGGGCACAGAGAAGAAGAGGATGCCTTCTCTTGAGCCAAGTCACCTCTTCTGATTCCTACCCCCAATCTGGACTCCCAGAGAAACTGCCACATGTTAGAGTGGACATCTTTTAAGACTCAACATGCCATCTTGGAGCATAACCACCAGAAATATCCAAAAACCAAAATATCCTGTCACCGGCTGTCCCTTAAATCTGGCTAAACCCATAAAACTACCTTATACCACCACCATTACCTCATCCTGACAGCAGAGTTGGCAGGGGTGAGGGGAGGGGAAAAAAATCTCAGACATTAGGAAATGAGATCTTGTCGTATCTTCTTTGGTACTTTTTTTTGTATGCCCTGGTTTTTTATCCAGCGGGCATCCATGTTGGCTGTAAGGCAAATATTTCCTTCTATAGAAAGAAGGCTAAGCAAGAAATAATGTTACTATTTCATTCTTTCACAAAATCCTACGTAAACTCCTGAATTCAAAAGGAAGGCACTCGGTGTGCGGGGTAGAATGTGTTTGCACCATATTGGTGTGAGAGAAAGAGCATAGGGTTGCCCTTACAGAGACGTGATGCCAGTGGCTAAGTCCAGCAACAGGGCAGCAAGTGCTGAGACCAGGGTCTCACAGGGCTCAGGAACTAAAGACAATAGAGATGAAGCTGGAGAGATAAGCAAAAGAGGGTGGTGACTACATGGAGACAGTCAAGGTGCCCATGCTGCCAGCAGCAGCTGAGCACTCTGGGGACCCAGGAGAAACTGATTGCAGGCAGACAGTCCATGCCACTAAAGCACAGCAGAACCAGACTCCCCAGGCAAGAACCTTCAATTCACAGCTTCTCACAAGAGGGGCCTGTGTCCCCTCCAATAGCAGAGCACACGGCCAGGGTCTGAGATGTGGCTGAGCCCAGAGTAGCCATCTATCCTGAACGTTCTAGCACATCTTAGAAACCCCAGAGCAGGAGGGGGCTGTCTTAGTCCATTTTCTGTTGCTGATAACACAGCCCCACAGATGAGGTGAATGGTAAAGAAGAGAGGTTTATTTTGACTCATGGTTCTGGTTCAAGGTTGAGCAGTCTCATTTGATGATGGTGGGATCCTGAGAACACATCGGACATCACACAGCAAGAGACAGGCAGCATGCAAGGGATTTAGCTGAACTCGCTTTCAGAGCAGGCCCACTCTTGAGATAATATTTGAACCCCTGACTTGCATAAGCAGATTCAGCCATTCATGAAGGCAGAATCTAATTACTTTATTTTAAAAGAAGAAAAAAATATTTATTTATTTGAAAGGCAGAGTGATAGAGTTAGGTGAGAGGAAGAAGGAGAA